CACTCTATTACTATTCCTCCTATTATCTTACCTGATTCTAAAACTCTTGATGTCTCTCATAAGTTTCGTAGTCTAGGTTTTATCTTTGATTCTACTATGTCTCTCTCTTCTCAGATTAATAGTGTTGCTAGAAGCTCTTACTTTCATCTACGTAGAATAAAAAAACTTTTGCTTTTTCTTGATGATCCTACTCTTCTCCTTCTTGTTACTTCGTTAGTTTTATCTAGGATTGATTATTGTAACTCGCTCTACTATGGTCTTCCTGACACTATACTCTATCCTTTAAGTAAAGCTTTTAACTCTGCTGCTCGTCTAGTTGCTCGTGCCCCTTTCTTTTCTCATATATCTCCATATCTTGTTCTCTTGCATTGGCTACCTATAAAATATAGAATAATTTTTAAAATTTGCACGTTCATGTATAAGTCTCAATCTAAATTATTTCCTAAGTATTTATCAGATATATTAATTGAACCTAAACGCCCCGGTTTACGATCGTCTTCTCGCTTTTTCTTAACTCGTGTTAAACACTTTTTTGCCAAATCTGCTTTTGCTTTTTCTGGTCCTTTTCTCTGGAACTCTCTACCTACTTCTCTGACTACTCCTCCTTCACTTGCGAAGTTCAGAGCGGATCTCAAGACCCATCTGTTTTCAAAATTCATTGAGGAGCGCTGTTGAACATCGCGGAAATAGCGCTTTATAAGCTAATTGATTGATTGATTAAAAGATTGGTTAACGTCATATATATAAAATATCTTCTATATATACGTTACACAAGTCAAATTGTCAATTCAATATGCTATGCACCAAACTTTTAGAATTTTCACATAAAACTTAATTACATTTTTTTGCATTGTTTCAACCGACCCCAAAATAGAAGCCGAATTATTAAGGAATAAAAATTTATATACAGTAGTTAACATCTCAGCCTCTTTCTTCATTGAGTGTCAGTCAATTCCTTCTAAGATCTAATATAAATTGACCACCCTATTTTCATCTATAGCAATTTTTGTCTCTACATTTAATTGAAAATGTTCTTAATAATTATCTAAAAAATTAATTTATAAACACACACACATCGGCATATATTTATTCATCACGTATATCATTTCATATCATTCTTGTCTGATAAACAACTCGATAATATGACATTCTCAGAGCTCTCAAAAACACATAGGTACAAGTATGAGCTTCCAGTGATTTATAAACACCGCAGTCATCGTCTCCTTACCTATGTACTTCCGCACCATGGTGAATCGCGATGTCTTTTTAGGAAATGTTTTGAGTTAAATGGCGATACATAAAAGCAAATTTGTGTATAGCGTACGGTTTAAAAATAAAGACAAATCATTAGAAGAAACGACTATATATATATGTGCATATATATATATATATATATATATATATATATATATATATATATATATATATATATAATGTGTAAGCTGTTTCTACACACATCCATTCACAACAAAGATACATTTTATAGAAACATGCATTGCATACCTATGATTGTGTGTGGTGAGAATACACTGGTTTCAAAATGAAAAATATATCAAGGTTTAAACAATTAAGAGTATTGCGTTAAATTTAAAATATCATTTTCAACATCAATGTCAATGGGTTGAGAAGAGTTGACATCAGAAGATATATTTTCCTGAATGAACTTCTGCTGTTTTAATGCTTCTTCCTGAACTGACACAGTTAGTTCTGTGAATGTTAAAAGTTCAACAGAATAAAAAAGAATTTAAAATCAATAAAATAAATGTTTATCACCCCTAACCAGTTAGTTCTTTTAATGAATGAATTTTGGAGCTCTCAGCCAGTTCAATTGCTTGCTTCAACTCTGCTGCTTCTTCTAGCAGTAATTTTTTTAATCGGATTGTCTGAAAATGTGTGGCAGCATAATGTGAAAATTAACATGAATTTAAAAAAACTTCAACATATATATTTGTGAATTCAATGTATTTAAAATGATTTCACAGATTAATACTAACATTGAACCAACATTTGGTTATTTTATATGCCAATTAAGAAATTTGCGAACATCCAGAACCAATTTTTTAAACGATTTAAGAAACAAATAAACAACCTCAAATATTTTCATTTTAAGTTTTTCAATGTCTTTAGCCTTCTGCTGGACATCTGATCTGGTAGCATTATTTCTGTGAACTTCATCTTCTGGCAACAAGATATGATCTGATACACACATTGTATTGTCCAACAAAAAAACCTTAGCAGAACAAATTATACATTTTGGAAAATATTTTCACAATAAAACAGAAACTAATCAAAACTTTTTTTTACCTCAAGTTTATCCAAGTATTTTGCCATAATTTCTGCAAGACTATGTGTAAATTCATTTCTAGAAAAATCCAAATCAACATTATTTGACACAACTTTTTTCTGGAAATGTTAAAACATTTTTAATTAATTATATTTAAAATTATTTACATAACATATTTTTATATATTACAATGAATATTTTTGATAAATCTAATCTAAGTAAGTAATAAACTAATAAACAGTTAATATATAACATAAAAAAGCTTAAAAAAGAAAATATAAAATAAGATAAAATATAAAAAACAAGTGTTAACAAAGTCTGAATGAAATTCTATCAGCATCTCCTGAATGCATTCCGAGAAACCATTGTAAACTGTGAAAATGAAACACTTGAGAATTTTTTCATATAATAATAAATTAATTATTTATTTATTTTCAATATTTATTTAAAAAAATTAATAAATAACTACATAGAAAATTTTTTATTTATAACTTTATATTATAATTAGCAAATAAACAACCAATTATTAATAAATAATTTCTCTAAAAGTCTAAAACTAACTAAAAAGTAAAAACTGGCTTTGTTTTACTTAAATTTTACATATAAATTAAGTTAAATTTAAAAAATTGAAAAAACTTTTTTTTCACTCACTAGCATCCACGAATGCGTTCGGAGTGAAACCAAAAAGTTGGGCTGAATATTCTTGTTCCTTGAACTGGTCTATGATTTCCGACATCACCTCACTAATTTAAAATTTTTTAACTTCGAAAAAAAAACTAAAAACCTGAAAAAACAGATTACTAAATTTGAAAAACAGAATCAGCGCTATTAGTTTGTAAACAAATAAAACTAAAAGTAAATTTGGTAATGAAATTAATCATTATTTTCCATATTTTATTCTACATGATAATTCCATCCTGGTATTAAATATGTTTCTTATATATTTTCGTTTTGCTATGTACAAATTATGTGCACTATCTATAGTATATATGTATCTTCTTTCTCGTGCCTTATCCTTTCAGGACATTGGCGACCATGGACCACCACAAAACCCGATCTTTAAAACTTCGTAGTAGTTGAAATGTGGTGATACTCAACGTGTGACACAAGGACTTCACAAATGTTGTTCGTTGTTGACCGCGATCCCTCTTTCCTGCAATCTTTCCTGTAGTTAGATTTTCCATCGACAAACACAAACCAGATCAAAATTTTAGTATATCATATACTTATCAATCTCTATACACACTTTTGTATGTATTAATAAATATCTCATTTAAAAATAAATGATTCGTGTTAAAGCACAATTTTTACCATATCTAAAATAATGAGCATGGAAAGTCAATTCGTTTGCTAGGAAAGTCTCACGGAAGGGAGGAGGTAGGAGTTAAGTGTAGATTTTTGTATTATATAATTCTCAAACGTTCCCTTAATAAATGTCTGAATGACAACAACCACACATGGTTTGGTCTCTGAGTGGTGTATCATCTTCTATCCGCAAGCTGTGTTTTATTTTCTCTAAAAAAATTTCCATCAAAACTATTCACTTAATTAATTTATTAGATCAATTTTGAAATTTCATAAATGTTTCTTCAAGAGTTTTTGAGTTTTTTTCACAAGCATAATTCTGACAAACGACAGATGTTGATATAATCAGTTTCATTGTTTCATCAATCTATGTCCAGCGTTTGTGGATCTCCAGCGGAATACCTCGAATTCGAATGTCATGTAATGTAAACCAGGCCGCCACTTACCAACGAAGCCTTAGGACGGTACATCAATTTATCGTTATCAGTATTTGTAAAAAGCATTAAAAAACTATATAAAATTTTTTTACCATTAAGCCAAGCACATCCTAAAACTGCGTTTTTGTCATGTAAATCTGCCAACTCAATGTTTGTTGAATATAAAACCACTTAAAATACAGTCAATCAATTATTGAATTTAGCTTAAACAATCGTTTCAACTTTTTCACAACAAACACACCACAAACAACACACAAACACACACACACAACAACAACAAACACACACACAAACAACACACAATTTGTAAGATAAATGATGTAAGGTGAGATAATTTTAAAACATAATTTCTGATTAATTGTTGTCATTTCTTTGTTCTTCATTGTTATTGAAGTTGGTACTAAGGCGTCGAGTTGGTAATGATGTTATTCTTTGTTGAATGTTTATGTGGGGTTTATTAATATCTATCAGGAAAGCCTCTGAAATTTTTAGATGCATTGTGTTGGTGTTTTGACAACAACAAAGATACGACACCAACTAAGTAACTCATTTAGCTAAAGAACTAACTTTGCATTGTTTAAAGAAACTATATAAATCAAACCTGCAGAGAAGATGATTTGTGAAAAATCGAAATAAGGCCTATCTGCATGATTAATTTGGGTAACAACAGTTTTATTAAATTTTCATGAGGAACTATGATAATAATTCTATTTTCAATAAATTGAACAATTTCCAGAAAATTCTAGTAGGGACAATTGAAAAAACAAACAATTGATTAATCGATTAATGCCAACAATTCGGTCGAATTCACACTGCGTAATATGCCTATATAGTCTTGGTAACAGGTTGAACCATTCAAATATTTTTCAAAAACTTATCAAGTTATTTGAAAATTAATACAATATTCAAAAAACATTACAAGACATTAAAAGCCAGCGATAGATATAATTTATATATTGAGCCGTACCTATACATACATCGGAATAAAACGTCAGAAAGATAATTTATCTAACTATTGTTGGAAAAGAACTGTCAACTGAAATCGTAAATAACATGAGTGAATTTCAACTCTCAGTCGACTCGTTGTTCATCACTTCATGTTTGCTATTATTAAAATATTTCAAATTTAAAATAATTTTAATCTTTGAAAATAACCATTGATTAACAAAATTATATGAAGAAAACGACGATCATTAAAATTTCAATTGATCAATATTTTAAGTACTAAAAGTTGAAACTAATTCATCGGAGTTGTCATGGTTTAACTAAAAAAGACAAAATTCTTTTCGATTGTAACGACCCAGCTATCTTCAACATTTTAAGACCGTGGAATAAAAACGCAATTTAATTAATCGAAATTTTAACAAATGTTAACAAAAATTCGATATAATTTCAAATATTTTTAGCATAAAAGTTTTTAGTGAGAAACTCAAAAGAGAAAAAAACTTTTTTTGGCGTTTAAATTAAGCTACAAATTGTTACTTAGAGCCCTATAAGCCGCTAAAGCTTTGGATAATTTAAGCAAATAGAAAATGTGTCAGTACAGATTTTTGTACTTGAATAAATAAATATATATTTATTTTATTTTGTTACATTGTACTCCCAAGAGTTGCAGCTAAATATTCAGGTCAAGAACAAACATATCAGCTTTATCAATAACTTGGGTCTGCTATCAAGTTTATTCAGCGCATGGTTTAATTTTATGGTGTTCAAAATGTGAAATTCTTAACTCAAATTACTGTTGACTAATATTATTAGATATATATAAAAGCAATTATTTAAGGAGTAAACTGATAAATTTAATTGAATTTTAAAACACCATGAATTAATTTAGAGAATGAAGCCTAATTTACTCAAAAAACGCGAGCAAACTTGTTTGAATAAATGATTTGTTGTAACTTACTGTGAATATTTAAAATTTAAAAAATAAAATTTATGAGTTTTCAATTCCTCAAAAATCGATATTCAAACATTTTTAGTTTAAACATTATCTAGGAGATAAATTTTCAAGACTAGCACGGTGAAGACCGATGTATTAATACTTTTACTTATCAGCATGCCGTGGTCATTGTGTGAATAAGACACAGTACCCAACACACACAACACGACGTAGGCACCGTACATACTTGGTTGAATCGTTCTGCTACTTGTCTACTTGTGTACATCTATTCTTATTCTGAGGTCCGCGTCATACCGTTACATTAGAACGGGTTGATGTGTCATATCATTCATTCACCTGAACTTTATTTAGTAGTGCACGCAGTTGACATGTGCAAACTGCAAACAAACTGCAATCAAACAATGCAACTGCACGTGAACTATCAGTTATTTTATATAAAATTATGCGTGTATAATACATCCTTTATATTAAATTGTTATTTTCTTTTTTTAACTCTACGAAAGCGAAGCTAATGCACGAGCAAACAGTTTTTTCAAACCTCACAGAAGCAATCATGTTCTGTTAAGCAGATATTAACAAATGTTTATAACACTGTACTAATACATGTTTGCGCACACACAAGCACACACAAACACACACACACAATAAAAAAAATAACACAAAAAACGAACTCCATACAAAGTTGAATTTCAAGCATCAACCTTAGATGAAATTAAAAACTTCAACGTTTACTCTCCGTTGGCCGTATTTGCATTTTGCCTTTTATGCTATTTTAAAGTGAGCTCAATTAAATGACTGGTAGATAAACAGTTGAAGAATGTTATGTGCTATTTCTAATTTGTACGAATATCTGGTATGTTGTTTATGTTTAGTATGTTGTATTTGGTTTATGTGTTCAAACACAAAGGCAGTTGTGTTATTTATGTATGTACAATTTGTATTATAACAATGTTATGCAATACGTTGTAGAGATACATTTACATAATGTATTTTTGTAAGCAAGGGTCCGTGTGTTGGTATTTGAATGAGTTTGGTCTGACAGGTTGGTAGGTGCGTGCCTGCAGAGCACCTTGTAAGATCTCTCTATGATGGCATGGCTCTCAAAAAAATATTAATCCCAAAATTAAACAATCACTTTGTTTGACTTCAATCAATAAAAAATTATTTAAATTGTTTGCTTAGTTAATTAATTTCTATTTCTTCATTAATGAGAAGAAATGGAAAAAAATGAAGAATATATATGACAACGCATTGATCACAACTTTTCATAATTAATTGACGTTTAAGCATAATTGGTCAATTAATTAATTAATTAATTAATTAGTGGTCTCAATCGCTTAGATAGAGCAGAACACGACCGAGCTCAGATCAACTTTAGCATGTCAGACAATACGTTACCACATACCATTGAAAACATTGACTGATCAGTTCATATAACGTATTACACGTTATTACGCGATACGAATATTTGAATTGACTTATTTAAAACTTTTAAATTTTCTAAACTGAAGTTAATAAAATTTAATTACCGTAATAGATAAAGTATAATTTAATTATTCATCTAAAGTATTCAAACGTTCCCAAATTATTATTTTTCATTGTTGGACTGTTTTAATAGCAAACAGGTAAAAATGCGTCTAATTTTTTAACGCCAAGCTCGATTAAGTCCGTTAACACAATGGTTTATGGTGATTCTTTTGTGTTGCACTCTTTAAGATTCAGTAGTAATTTGAAATTTTATTATTTCAAGCAGTTCAATCTGGTACCGATTTGAGAATTTGTTACAAGTTGCGCTTGATTTTCTAAAATTTTTAACAGTAAAATTTTTAAGTAAAATTATTTAAAAAATTAATTGGGCAAGATAATTTATTCTTAATTTTTGTGTAGGAATACAGCGTTTGTAATAAAAATTAAAATAAAAAAAAATCTAAATAATTTTAATTTTTAGTTTAATACATTTAATCGAATCAGAAACTAAAAAAGCTAGTTGAACAGAGCGATGAAGCAGTCGTGGGAAGACCTTCTAACGTTCAAAGCTTCGAGACGCGATCTCGCCACTCTCATCTTCTGGCGAGACGTCTCGTGCGAATTCGTCGTCTCAACCTTCCTCATGACGGTCGTCATTCTCATCCTCACAACGAACGATACACACGCCTACCAACCGAGCACGACTCATTTCGGTCTGTTTGCCGGTTTCTTCATTTACTCGCTACTTGAAACCTGGGGCCCAATCTCTTGCCTCGGTCATCCACCCGCGGCCTTTTGCTTCATGCTCGGCGGGAAGTTCACCGTTGCAAGAAGTTAGGGCCAAATTTTATTTTTTCAAATAATTTTTATGTGTTTTTTGCAGTTTTATATGCTCAGAACTGCATAATAATCCATTATTAGACTCTTGAAGTCTTTTGCTACAAAGGCTGAACTAACAGCACAACTGCGACCTACTAATTTTCTACTTATAAAAAATAAAGTTATCTAATTTTAAATGATAATTTATAGATGATAGATGATAATAGACCTTGCATACTAGGATGTTATTTATATAATATTTAAATTTATTTTTCATAAAAATGATTGAATGTAATAAAATAAATCGCCGAAAAGCAGGATGAAAAATAAAGTTAAACATCCATAACGAAATAAATAATAAATAAATTCTTTGGACGCCCACAGCTGTCTTCTACACGATCGCAGAAACAGTTGGATGTGCAACTGGAGCCGGCATTGGATACGCGTTAGTCCCTTGAAGAAATTTTTTATTTGTTGATAATATATTATATATATAAATCTGCAGAACCAAGTGTGTGTGTGCGTGTGTGTTTGTGTGTGTGTGTGTGTGTGTGTGTGAATATATTTAAATACAAAACAAGACGACACAATGCTACACGCACAATCAATTACCTGCCCGCAAACGAGCAACAACAGACACACACACACACGCACACACACACACATACACACGCACAAACACTCCAGACTGACACCATTCGAAAAGAGAAGCACATTCGTGGCATTCAATCCAGCCAAACATGGGCTATCCCTGGCGCAGAGTGTCTTCGTTGAGGCAGTTTTCACGTTCAACCTCATCTTCTGCATCTTCAGCGTACACGGATCTGACTATGCACGAAAATTCCCAATCCTACCAAACTTGGCTATTGGTTCTGCTATTGGCACTGCTATTATGGCTGCTGTGAGTTCTATACTTCGCTTTGTTCTACACTAATACATTTTATCAATACTTTGTACTCTCTGTTGTTCTCTAATGTACATTACCTTATATTTTCTGCTATACACTAATAGTAACATTGTAATAACATTGCATGTAATGTTCATTGTTATTGCCGTTTAAGTCTGTTATAATTGTTACGTTAATTTCATTATATTACGTTAATTTCATTATATTTTGTTACGTCATTTCATTATGTATAATTTCATTACATCATATAAGCACGAAATATGATATTATTTGAGTTTCTGACGGACAGATTTCAATCCAAATCATAGCGTAATAGCATAGCAAGACATGGCTCTTCACCGACTGAGCTAACTCGAATTTCGAGCATTTGAGGTGTATTTAAGGCCGCAGGCTCATTTACATGTTTTGCAAGTCGTTGGGTTCTCTTATTTTATTTATTCCAAATCGTAACTCAACTTCAATCGTTACAAATCATTTTGCAAAACGGATTTGATATTTTTATAAATCTGACCCTTACCCTAACTCTTACATTCTTTTCTTAAATTAAAAAATTGTTGAATGGATGAATGAAGAAAAATGAATGAAAAAAGGTTTGAACGGATATATAGCTTTATAAATGATTGAATGAATGCATAGTGAATGAACAAACGAACAAAAGAACGAATGAAGAAGAATGTTTAAGCGAACAAATTATTAAAAATACTAACATTTAAATAGAATATAAATTCACATATACACTCAAATATAAACACGTAGGAAAAACATATATGCGCACACACACGAATACACACACACGCACACATATGCACACACACATATGCACACACACACACATTTATTTATTTAACTAAATTGAATACTAATCACCAAAACGTCAGAACGTTAATAAATCAAATAAATCCACAAATAACAGAAATAATTATAATAACAATAATTATAATAATAATTATTATTATTTCTAAAATTTTATAGTTAGTGAACTGTGTATATATGTTTAAAACGTATTATTGTTATTATTATTATCGTTGTTGTTTTTGTTGTTGTTTATGTTGTTTGTTGTTGGTGTTCTTTTCTTGTTGACTGTAAATTAATATTTTTTTAATTCCAGAAAAGTATTTTTTGAGAAAATACTGGTAGAATATTTATTTATTAGTATTGTTGTCACTGGTGTAATGGTTAAGGCGGCTAGCATTGCTGTTGCAGTGGCTGGATTCGAACGCAAGAGAGATCTCCAGCCTGTCTATCTCACGCAAATGTGTGCAATGCGCTGATTCACTCTGTCGTTAATACCTATTCTGACTTGAACTTTAAGACAAATTTATAAAAAAAATTATTACATTTATTATTTAATTTTAACTTTTAATTGTCATTTTAATATTTAAATAATAATATTGAATAAAAATGATTAAGTATTTTTTTTATAAATGTGGTTCTTCATACCCAGGGCACCTTCACGGGGGGTTTCATGAACCCGCTGATCGCGTTCGGGCCTGCCATTGTGTCTGGAGATTTCACTAACCACTGGGTAAGAGTGATGTATTTATTTTATTGTTTTGTTTTAGGTAGCGGTCATTTTATTATGATTGAAATGTTTCATTTTCATATTTTTATACGTGAAAATTAAAATATTACTTTGTTATTTTGTTAAATAAATATATGTAAAATATATTGTTTTATTCTTTGAAATGATTTCGTTATATATTTGAAAGTAATATAAGGTTGTAATAAATAAATAAATAAATAAATAAAATGATTTTGATAGAATCATACATGGTTGAATAGCTCACACACACCACACACGCACACAAACACACACGCACATACAAACTCACACACACACACATACAAACTCACACACACACACACAACACACACATCACACACACATACTACATTCCTACTATAACCGCAAAAAGATATACTGGGTTGGACCGTACGTTGGAGGCATACCAGCTGTCTTCCTCTACAAGTTCTACCACTGGGTCAAGGTGAGACATGAGCGTCTGCCAAAGAGGGTTGTGCCCCCGGCTGGAGGTGAGACCGAGGTGTTGGACACGAAGTGAATATTGTCCTTTGTTACTTTTCTATTGTTTGTCCTTTGTAGTCTCTTCAATCCATCACAGTATCAATCAATCAATCTATCAATCAATCGATCGATCAATCAATCAACCCGTTAGCCAATCAATCAACGTATTTGTAATTTGTATAGCGCCATTTCGACTAATGACACGCACGAGGAAATGAAATTATGATGTTTTTACTATCGTTATTTGTAATAATTAAAATCTGGAATATTTTTTAAATTTAATTCCAAACAGGACAAATGATGCTCCTGGAACAAGAGTTGTACAACTCTGATACTTAGATCTTTTTGAAGAAAAATATAAATAGCTTCTATTGTAGTTACAATTGAATATTACAATACATTCATGAATCATATTGTAATTTGTTAATTAATGTTGTCATTTAATACTATGCTCATTAACATTTTTTCATTTATGTCCCTAATTAGTAACTATCTTTAACATCTTTAGTACTTTTAATCAACACATACATTTTAATTTATGCCAAACTACTCGAGATTTTGAAGAGGTGTTAATGTTGGTTAATTGGTGAATTAAGTTAAATGTTGGTGTATGTTACCTGTTAATTGAAAAACGGTAAAACCATTTTTAACAATTTTCTAACTGTCGTTCACTAATTATGTCTGAACCGCTCATTTTGAAGTGGCTTACGGTTTATTTTTCTATTATTTTAAAAAATATTAATTATTATTTTCCATATTAAACAATTTTTATCATTTGAAAATATTTTCTAAAAGATTCGTTGAAATAAGGACTTACAATTGAAGCTGACTGACGTGAAATATAGTTAAATTTTTATCTATATAATTACTAATATTAATTCATATAATTATTAATGTTAGCAAACTAGCCAAAGTTTGAAGTTCTCTACGATTTATTTATGGGCAAGAGAGTGTCTGGCATTTGACAAATTTTGGTCATGTAATTGAAATTCATCAAAATGGTGTTAAATCCTTATTTATGTTCACTATTCAATTTATTTTTTTAATAGACAATTAATATTTTTTAACAGCCCGACCAAATAAATATTTGAGTAATTTTTAAACTTTTAAAAAATTCATCCTATTTGAAAGAAATATTCTTCTTCTTCTTTCTCATGCCCTATTCTTACAGGACATTGACGACCATTGACCTCCACAAAAGTCGATCTCTAACACTTCATTTTGATAACCCATCAATGTTCAAATTTTCATAAGCTCCACCACGTCTTTCACGCTATCAAAAACCTTGAAGCAACCGACCAAGCATACAAACAAGTCTTACTTCGTTTCAATCGCTCGTTTACTGATTATTCGTAGCACAAAGTTAGCGCCAAAAAGTCATTTTTAAAGATGATTGTGGCATTATTAAATTAAAATTAAAGAAAAAATTATTATACTGAATATTGCAGACGAGATAAATTGTTTCAATTTACATACAATTTACATTCATTTCATCTTCACAATTATCAGTGCATGGTGGATTCATCACATTTGAAGGAAATAATTAGCGCAACATCCATACATATACATAAGTGTATATCTCTGTTTAAGCAAATAGATTAATAAATTTATATGACTAAATATTTTTATTTAAATTATGATAGGTTATAATTTTAGATAATATAATAATAATTATATCATTAATAATATTACAGTTAACGACCGAATTAAATATGAGGTGAGATTGGGAATATCGATAACAAGTATGCACTGAATGGATGAGTAGGATCATCTAAGTGATTGTGTGTCTGTGTTTGTTTGTGTGGATGTGTGTTTTTGTGAATGTATGTGTGTGCGTGTGTATACGTGTATGTATGTTTTTGTATGTGTATAAGTGAGTATGTATGTTTGTATGAGTATGCATGTGTATACATGGAAGTGTACGTCTAGGGGTATGTGGGCAAATTTGTGCGAATGTGTGTGTATGTGTATGTATATACAATGTATGTATGTATGTATGTATGTATGTATGTATGTATGTATGTATGTATGTATGTATGTATGAATGTTAAAACCAAAACATGATGAGTGACACTGAACCGTCAAACATCAAGTAACAAATGGATTAACACTTTGATTTGTCGTTACATGTATGTATGTATGCATGTATGTATGTATGTATGTATGTATGTATGTATGTATGTATGTATGTATGTATGTATGTATGCATGTATGTATGTATGTATGTATGTATGTATGCATGTATGTATGTATGTATGTATGTATGTATGTATGTATGTATGTATGTATGTATGTATGTATGTATGTATGTATGTATGTATGTATGTATGTATGTATGTATGTATGTATGTATGTATGTTAAAACCAAATCATTGACGAATGACACCAAAAGCCAAGCGTCTGACTGATTTTATTTGCTATAACGTCACTCAACCCCGTCGGCATTCAACTCCACATTTTCCAACACACAGACGCGCAAAAACCGCTGCAGAATGCACGAGATATTATTCATAGCAAAAAAATATTCCCTACTATCGCCTGACCTAATACTGATATTTTTACAAATCCGATTGAAAAACCCGGAGGTGTTACGGTCCATGGGGCCGAGGACCTCGATACAAATCGGTAAAAACTCCATCGAGGGGAGAGCTCCGTCGTACTCTTTGCTAGTAAGCTGCACGTAGCGCTCAGCAAAGGTGCCCGGAACGGTAACGTCCCACGCCAAGCACCTGCCGGCTCTCCAAGGGATCAAGGTACACCCGTCAGGGCGCTTACCGTCGTGCGCCGCAATGCCCGATGGTTCCTTTAAAACCGGAATTGAGGCCTTGGAGAAAAGTCGGCACACAAAATCGTTTATGGCTGAATGTCGCTGCTGGCGACCTCCGCCCAAACGACAAACAAGACCATGATGGCCAAGTTCATCCGCCTCCGCGCCGCACCTGCATGTATATCGACTCTGAACGGCCAACCCCAGACGGAAGCCAATGGCTGTCCTGACCGTTTCGTCGTCCAATCTGGTACCCACCGACGTATTGGGCAAAGATCTCAGCCAGCCGCAACTCGCCTCGCTGGAAACTGCCAGCAAACTGTATGTATGTATGTATGTATGTATGTATGTATGTATGTATGTATGTATGTATGTATGTATGTATGTATGTATGTATGTATGTATGTTAAAACCAAAACATGATGAGTGACACTGAACCGTCAAACATCAAGTAACAAATGGATTAACACTTTGATTTATCGTTAATTGCACATGTCGCCATTCAGTTGGATATTTTCAAGCACACAGACACGCAGGAACCGCTGCAACAAGCACGAAATGTGGTTAGTTGCGAAAAACAGTTCCCTGCTGTCGCCTGATCTGACGCTGATCATTTTACATATTGCCTTAAGAAATTTAAGGGTGTTGGGGTCCATCGGGCCGAGAACTTCGATACATATTGGCAAGAATTCCATCGAGGGGAGGGCGTTCCCATATTTCTTCATTTTCTCGTCCGCATGTATGTGTGTGTGTGTGTGTGTCTGTCTGTCTGTCTGTAAAACTCTGCATGTGTATCATTCTTACTTATGCCTATTTATTAGTCAATTTCGTGTGTCAGAGGTTTTTTTTCATTAAGATAGAAAAAATTATTATACTGAATATTGCAGACGAGATAAATTGCTTCAATCTTTTTGCTGATTTAAAATATTTTAAAAAGTTAACAAAAATTGAACATTAAAATGACAATTGAAGTTATTTAATCTTACATTAAAATATTTCGAAGGAATGAAACGACGCAAATTTTTTTTTATTGCCGCCACTTAAATGGCTGTAAAAATTGTTGAATTTAATTAACGTGCGGTTGAAGATAGTATTCAAATATTTCTAATCAACAAATTTATTTATAATTCAAATTTTAAATCTAATAAACAAAATTAATTATTGTTAATTATTTAAATTAACAGGAAAAAGAAAAAGTCATATCGATCTACTTAATGTGTGTCTAGGTATCTTTACCGGGCCACATTCTCATGAGAACTTTATCGAAAAATCACCAAAAATAAGATCAAAAAATTTATAACAAAAATTGTATAAAATAAAAATAGATACAAAATTGTAAAAAATAAAAATTATAAAGTGGTAGAGTGGAATTAAAACATAACAGAACGACAAAATTATTTTACGCCAGATAAATAACAACATTGAAACTAAGACAGAATCAGATTGAATTACGATCATTTATAAATATACAAAAAACCAATCAAACAGACAAACATGCAAATAAGCAAACAAACATGCAAACAAACAAACATACAAGCAAACAAGCAAACAAACATGCAAACAAGCAAACATACAAGCAAACAAGCAAACATACAAGCAAACAAGCAAACAAACATGCAAACAAGCAAACATACAAGCAAACAAGCAAACAAACATGCAAACAAGCAAACATACAAGCAAACAAACATGCAAACAAACATGCAAACAAGCAAACATACAAGCAAACAAATAAAAATTGAGAAAACTTTCATCAACGCCAGAAATGCTATAGACGCATACACAAAGATAAGTGTATTTACATAAACTCACACACACACACACACGCACGCACACACACATGCACACACTGACACACAAGCAAACAGCATGCAAACATACAAAAACAAACAAACACAAAGGCAAATTGTACGTTCAAAGAGTGGTCGGCCGTTTCTCATAGTCGCTAGGTGGTCGGCATCTCAAGAACCATAAACTTTTTGCAAGTGCCATAAAATTCTCGGGTGCGAAGTGCCGTGTTATTTTGAAAGTGCGTGCGTTCGATTTATTTGCACAGTTTTCGCCGTAATAATAATTTTTGTTTGTGTTATTTTTATTGTTAACGTTGTTGCTGGTGCCTTAGCCACTGATTTCATGTTGCTATTGATGTCAGCGCCGTTGCCTTTGATGTCACCGTGATGTCTTTTTCATTGATGTTCACGTGATTGATGTGGCGTTTATAACTTAATAAGGAACATTTGAACAATACCGTCATCTCTATCACAGAAACATCAATTTCATAACACTAATTTCATCACTGATATAACTGTTGAAAAAAATTTTATCGTCCTCATCATCGTCGTCGTCGTCATCATCGTCGTCGTCATAGTCATCATGATCATCATCATCATCATCATCATCGTCATCATCATCATCATTATTATAACCATTACCATCACCATCATCACCATCATTTCGTCATTCATAATCATCATCATCACCGACGCTGCCTAATAAAAAACTATCAGATTTAATGATTCCTTTATCTTCGTCTTATCAGCCGACAGATCAATGACTTGATAAAACAAACAATTAAACATAAAAACAAACAAATAAACAAACAAATAAACATACAAAACATACATACAAAACATACATACAAAACATAAATACAAACAAATGAACAGACGATCAAATAAGTATTCAAATAACATATTGTTATACACAAATTATAACTTTAATCACAGCAATAATTATCACAATAATAATTATAGAGTTATTATTATTATATTATCAAACTGTACCATAGTTGTTTTTTAGTTTCAAAAGTTTATCATAGGATTGGTGAGAAGTTTCGCTATGTAGGTACGTTGTTAAATTGATACCGTACTGAGACTGAACCATCCTCACAATCAATTTTGGCCGGGAATTCGTACCAATTCAGCTAAACCGCTAAAAATTTTTTTTGACTAAATCACTGATTTCATGTTGTGATATATAACATTAACCGATTTGGTACATTACCCACAATTCAGTTGAATCCATTCAATACTGCATAAGATACGGTCTCTTTCCAACATATATATATATATATATATATATAATAACATTTGTATATATTAATATATATATATATTAATATATACAAGTGTTATAAAAAGCTGACGAATAAAATAGTAAAATTTCTTCATTAATTCGATTAAGAATTAAGAGATGGACGCATTTTTATCGTGAAAAATTTTTAATTTTAAGGATCGGCGGTTAAATTTATTCAAAGAGTAATGGCGATAATGATAATTTTTCTAAAGCATGTTCTGTGAGATTACAGATTGATATTGATGACGACCTTTAATTTAACAATTTCAAATTTTTCTGTTAACTACTAAATCATTAAAGGATAATTAAGCTTGTGAAATATTCACAAACAGTAACCTAATAGTTATGTCACGTATGACGTCAGCTTTAGGTGGCCAATCAGAAGAGCTGATGCAAACCGACAGCCCTTACGGCAGAACTTACATGAAGGAAATTTTCAGACCTTCGTGTCGATTTTTCAACTCCGTAGACAAAAACGACAATAACGACGAAGACAACAACAACGACAACAACAACAACATTGATACCATTAACAACGACAGCAGCAACAAACATTTTAACAACAACAAAAACATCAGCTGCAACCTAAATTTCAACAACAATAAAAGCAACCATTACAACAACGACAACAACAACAACAGCAACAACAATAATGACAACAATCCTAGCGACATCACTAACATCAACAACAACGTCAACATTAGCAGCATTACTGATCATCATCCTTACAAAAGTTTCTCATCTGATACGAAGCCGATAGATAGTTACTTAGGAATGCAACAACAACTCTTTCAACATCACAGCAAACAACAGTTAAAACAACATCAAACATTGCAACACAACCGCCAACAACAACAACAATACTTTCAACATCAACAACAAATACAACAAAAACAAATACATGAATTGTTTTTTGAACAGTTTTGCATTGACCAGGCTAGCATATCATCTCAGCTCCAACAACAACAACAACAACAACAACCTCAACATATTCAGCTAAACTTACAACAACAACAACAACATTCACAACAGTTACCGCAACAACCACAACACTGTTTTGAAGTTAACACGCCCTACCAGCATCACCATCACCAACAACATCACAAACAACAACAACACACTTGCAACTACACCAACGAACCAAGAAAATTCCAGCAATCTCAACAACAAAACATCAGCGATGATGATCAGATGTTGGAAGATAATGAGGACGATGATGACGTTGAACGTGATGGCAGCATGGAAGAACATGACGTCAAGAGGAAGAGGAAACCTTACACGAGATACCAAACAACTGTTCTCGAAAATGAATTTAGCTGCCATGCGTACCTATCCAAGCATAAAAGGTTACAATTGGTTTTTATATCCTCACTACACTGTGTGATTTGTGTATTATCAATAAGACCGGATTAGTGAGAGCACTTCTATGAGCGTTGAAGTTATCTGGTTCAAACACAAATTAACCTTGGTATAGCGTTATTTCACTGTTTGTTTGTTTGTTTGTATGTATGTATGTATGTATGTATGTATGTATGTTTGTTTGTATGTATGTTTGTTTGTTTGTTTGTATGTATGTGTGGTGTTTAATGGAAAAACTTCAAAGCTTTGTCAATAAAAAATGAAAAAGTTTTGTAAATTAGGATGGCAGGCGAATGTTTTATGTTATTTTTATTCGATTAAATACGATTTACATCTTATAATCGTTAATGGCAAAATGATCATTTCTTTTACTGAAATCCAATCTAGTAGGTTCAACAATTACCGACCGACCGATCAGCGACCGACCGACCGATTAACCGACTGACCGACAAACCAACCAATCAACCACCGACCACAAAAACAGGTTTGAATTGGCATGTGCCTTGGGACTGAGTGAACGCCAGGTGAAAGTTTGGTTTCAGAACAGAAGGATGAAGAAGAAGAAATTGTGTTTGAGGGCGAAAGTGATGCTGAAAGAAGATTATGTAACATCGTCGCAGTACGTTTGCTGCAGTAGCAGTAGTAACACCATTAACAGTCCCAAAAACAACAACAGCAGCAGCAACAACAACAACGCTGATAACCGCAACAACAACAACCACAACAACAACAACAACATCAGTAACTTACACAACAGTGGCAACAACAACAACAACATAAGTAATAATTTTTACTCCAACAATAGAAACTTCGACGAAAACAACTACACTCGTGTGATTAAAAACAACAACAACAACAGCAGCAGCAACAAAAACATTAACGACGGTGACAAGGACGACAGCGGCTTACACATCGAAAAACTCTGCACTAGAGTTCATGCTGATGATGACGAGAACTTTAGAAGTGCTAATGATGAGGTTGCTAATATCATCAATGCAGTTTTTCAGCAGATGAAATGATGCCAGCAACTATTAGATATACTTTCATTTATGGCATAATATGTTACAAAAATCTAGAGAGAGTATTTTGTTTTCAATGTTGGTTTAATTAGGAATTGAGTTACATTTGTAAAATTGGTAACATTTTTGTATTTTAAAATCGCCTGCATAAATCTTTGTTCATTTTTGCTGAATTAATTAATATGCATAAAAACAAAGTTTAACGTTTTAATGTGAAAAATTTAATACTAATATATTTCAAATAAATTTACATCATACAAATTTTATATAGATAAAATCGATCGGTCTAGTTAATGATAAAATAAAAAAAAAACTATAAAAATTAACTATATACAAATTAAGCTAATTATGACGCAAATCACGTTACCATAGAAACAAAAAAACGTCGTCACGACGTAGACTTTGCAATTTTTATCCCACTCTCATTGGCTAGCTGGTTTACAGAGAGCTAGATGATTGACAAGTGCGTATGTTTGGTACGATGGACATGGCTAACACGTCAGATGCTGGCACGCTGTTGCTTCTGTTTTTTGGCGTAATGTTCGTTTCAACGACTATTGTAATTATAGTACGGAGATTGAGCTATTAACTTGTGATAATAAAAATCTATTAAAATACAACAGTGGAGTATAATAAATTATTAAAATATAATAACAAAACAAAATAAAATATTAGAATAAAATAATAAAATAAAATAAATATTGAATGATGATTAAATATTGTCGATAATGACGACAGATAGAATTAAGATGGAGTTATTTAGAATATTTTCCAACTAATCATATCGAAATTAAAAGAGTATCGCTACGATACCAACATGTACGACCTAGGTGAGGACTCCAGTAGTACATCGTTTGCCATGAGGTCATTTCTTCTCTTGATGAACACGAACATTTTGTACACATAAACAGCCGGCGGTCCACCAATGTACGGTCCTACCCAATATATCTGAGGTGTGTGTGTGTGTGTTAGTCTGTATGTGTGTTTGTTTTTTTGTATGTATGTTTGTTTGTTTGTGTGTTTGTTTGTCTCAGCGTGTTATTGTGAGTGAATGTTTTGCAACGATTATTTATCACAGGATTTGTTTCATGAAATGCAACTAAATATTTGGAAAAATTAAATTAAAATTTGTTTTTGTTTATCGAATTATTCATCAAAATAATTTACAGTTATGTGGAAAAAGTATTTAATTGGTAAATAACCCAATGGTTTTTGAAATCATGTGACAAGAAAGCAGGACCCAATGAGATGAGGGGGTTCATGAAGCCTCCGGTGTGAGTGCCCTGGTGATTGGATGGTCGTTTCATGACATAATGGAAATTAATTTTAAATAAAAAACATAATAAAAACACTGAATTAAAAATAAAAAAGTTGTCAATTGATAAAAACACCAACAGCTGCCATTATAGATGTCCCAATAACGATTCCAATAGCCAAGTTAGGTAGGATCGGATAGGGACGACCCAACTCACTCCCGTGCAAGCTGAGGACCACAAATATCAAATTGAATGACAAAATGGCTTCCACAAACACGGATTGTGTCACTGTCAATCCGTGGTTGGCGGGATTGAATGCATGGAATGCACCTCCTGGCTCCGCCAAACGTGCAGCTGGTGTCAATCTAGAGTTGTTTGTGGAAAAATATTGAAGAATTTAAATGTAAAAGTTGATATGGTGCATGGTAACCACTGCACCGGAGAAAATAATTTGTTAAAGGTTTATGCCTTATTTAAAAATTAATTTACGTTCATTGATGAAGCTCTGCTATAAAAGTGAAATTAATTAAAAAATGCGACTGACTCGTAACCAATGACGCTTCCGCAGATACATCCTGTCACGTGAGCTGCAGTGAACAAGATGGCTGATATGACAATGAAAACTTTTGTTAGTACATACAAAATCGTTTTTGGATTAAGTGTTTGTTTATCAAAGGGCTCACTTTTAGCGATTGAAAACTTTCCAGCTAGGTAGAAACAAAATGCCGCCATAGGATTAGCCACACAAGAAATATTTCCATAGCCTTCCAGCAACATGTACACGAAGAATCCAGCGAAAATCCCGAAATGAGTAACACCGGGTTTGTAGGCTTCAACGTTGTTGGTGATGAGGACGAGTGTTACCATGATCATGAGGAAGGAAGTGACCATCAGCTCGCAGAAGACATCTCGCCAGACGATCAGCGTGGAGAGGTCTTGCTTGGAGTGCTGCAGATCTTCTGACAATTTGGCGGTTAGTTGTTTGACTCTGGAAATCATTGCTGACTGATGTTGCTGCTGCTGTAATGATCTTGCAAATATTTTAAAATCTTTTCTGTACTAGTAAGTGATGAGCTCGAAACTGATGCAATTTGATGAGATCTTCAAAAATGTTGCGTTCTAACACAGGAAGGTAATTCTATGTTTGATATTCGTAAAACTGAACTGAAAACAATTATTTAAATTAAATAAAATGAAATAATAATTTATTTATTCTTGTTTGTATTTATCTACATGCTGGTATCAAATATTGAAAAAATTTAAATTATTGACAAAATCTATCCTACAAAAACTGCATCTAAATTGGCAGCTGATTTTGTTCACAAGCCGTGTTGTTTAGTGCAATAATTCAAACAGCACAAGTTTAAACTATTAATACAAGAGTTTAATTTGTGATAAAATATAAATTTGATTTAATTTCAATTAATTTAAAATTCAGATTTCAAAAATGGTAATAATTTTATTTATACGCGCTTGGGTGCTCTTCTATAGAATTGTAAATAATGTCATTATTTTGCTAGCCTTCCTTGTTAATAATAATTAAAATTTTAATAAATATACAACAATAATTCTTATTTAAAAAATACTTATTTTAGAAATACAACTAGCAACTATACTTAGAACTTTACTATTTGTAAATCTTAAAAATTCTTCTAAACTCGAAGCTTCTAAACTCTTCTAAATTTGATAATAAATTTATCAAAAAAAAACCATCAAATTATTATCGTAAACTAACATTAAATTGAAATTTTTTTATTTACTTATCCACTTAATTAATGAAATCAGGAAAATTACTATTCCATAAAATGTAAGTTAAATTTCATACAACCTGTTCATGCTAGCTAAATCAATTTAACTTGGCTTACATGTGGTTATATTTTACGCACACGCTACAAGTTTCGTATGTTTAGATTATACAACTTTTCGTAAAGAATCAAATACAAAACATTTGGAATACCTTAAGTATATAGTACTTCTATAATATTTAATATGAATTTAGTTGTGATGAAACCGTATTTATATCAAACTTTATTAACATTATTCTATGCGTGCGTATGATTTTAGTGTAAAATATGAAATAATAAAGTTAATAATTTGATGAAATAAAATCAACACAAAAAACTTGAAAAAATTATTGGTCAATATATATTACAATTAATAATGTTTCTTAATATTCTCATTATTTTAAAAAATAGAAAAAACCATTCTACCTCATTCCATCCCATCTTTAACACTCAGTATCATTTAGTTATCACGACAACCATTGTTAGCATTTCATCTCCGTCATCATCAACAACCAGCATCGTCATAATCAGCATCATCATCGCCATTGCCATTATCACCATTCTGGTCGTCATCATCGTTATCGCCATTTCCCTCCTAATCGTCATCATTTTCCCAATTTGTATCATCATCATCATCGTTGGGAGACATTCCCTTGACTGAAAGACTTCCTCAACCTATCCGGGTTTTGTGTTGTTTGTGTCTGCTTGAACTTTGGTTTGTACTTTCTGCCTTTGAGCATCTGGCCATAGGTTAACACTGCCAATGTTCCCCCTATGTATGGGCCTAGCCAGTATATCTGAGAGAATGATGATGAAGATGATGATCGTAGCGATGGTGTTGATGCTGACAATGATGAGGACGGTAATGTTTGTGTATAATTTACGGTGACAACAATGATTATGGTGATGTTGGTGTATAGCGTGATCGAATATTGTCGAAAATTTAAAAAGTCAGGTTTACTTTTAATGGTAGTAGAACGATTGCAGGGAGAGGATGTTGTCTTGCAATTCCAAAATTTAATTTAAATTAGATGAAAATATTAAATATAAAACTGAAACGTAAATTTCGAGAAAAAGAATTTTGATGGGCAGATAAATCGAGTTTAGAGCATGGATTATAGTAGTCTATTATCCCCCTCCTTGCCTTTTATGGTGGAATATTGCCAAGCAATAAAATAGAAAGGCTTAAGAGTCAAAGAAATGATTGCATCCTTCATCAAACATTTGTCGCATTAAACAGAATTGTCATTCTAGATCACATAATTGACAGAATATGTGCACATTTATTGACAAGGCGTGAGACACGTACCCATTGGTTTTTCACGTTTCCGTGGAAAACAGCAAACGCGAATGGAATGAGTGGATTCATAAAACCGCCTGTATGTCGGGCCTGAAAAATTTTTAATAAAATTCTAAAATTATTTCAACCACACTTAATTAATATTGTATAATACAATTATAGCAATACACAATTGAATTTACCGTTCCAAGAATGCCAAATGCGACTGTAATTGAGACAGCCAGGCTCGGAAGGACTGTGTTTTGTCTATTTGGTTATTATTATTTTCATTATTAACAACTACTATCTAGTGGTAGTTCACAATCACCACTACCACCACTACTACTACTACTGCTACTACTACAGCTGCTGTTGCTACTGCTACAACTGTTTTTTAATATATATACATATAATAATAACTAATTTATTATTAAACAATTTTAATGTAATACGTTATTATTAAATGTCTAGTATTAAATGAAAATAAAAAAAAATGGTTTATAGCGAATATTATTCAAAGGAAAAAAATTGGCAAAAATATTTCTATTGGATTGGATATAGCCTATTATATATATTTTTTTCTTCCAAATTTAGTATTTTTTAAAAATTATCACTACAATCTAATCTAATCTAATTTAAACTAAATTAAATTACTACAATCACGCAATTTTCTTTTCTTTCTTTCCTGTTAAATAATCGCGCGTACGGTGCTTCCTAGCACTTCTGAGATACTCGAAACGTGCTCACTCATTATAACTGAATTTACTGAGGCACTAGCGAAGAATTAGATGTGGTAGGACTTTCAATCTAGCCTGTATAAATCCTTCGCGAATAATACTAAGATGACAAAGATGAGGTTGAACGAGTAGAGGCCCTCAACTGTGGTTGCCTGCCAGATTTTCAGACCACTCCTGCCTGGATCAACCATCGGCAGTTCGCTATCTTCCGCCAAAAGTCTTCAACGGACGGTGATTGACATTTAATAAATATTTCAAGTATTAAACTGATTATTTGTGATTTTTTTATTTTAAATTTATTTGTATTTTCAGAGGTATCAACTGGATGGAAATACGCGTGAATAAAAATCACGGGACAGGGGTCGATACTGCATTCGAACAAGAGCACTGCCAAGCCCTTTAACCATTACACTACTGATACAAAAACATGCTGTAATATTTTATAGTAATTAGTAATATGTTAATATAATAATACATATAACATGTTATTCTATGTTATATTAATGGCAAAACTCACAAATAACCAAAGTATGTTCCAGCTAAAGAGCCCGAGAGTTCAAACATTGTGAACATAACCCCTGAGATGTTATTTTTATGATGCGGAAAGTGAATGATTTTAGTTATTTTTACTAAAACAAATCCAATGAACATTGTAATAGCAGTAAAATAGTAACAGTAGTAAATTAATTAAATGTGGAATAGTTAATTATTAGATAAATTGAATAACCTTAATGATGCAACATCGTCGGTCAAAATTTTTTAGACACAACAAATAATTTAACGGTCGAAGCCAACATTTTGGCGAGGGATATTTCCCTTGCAAGGAGGATTGAAAATGTGACGACGGGACTGACGCAGCAGCCGATGGCCCCGTAGCCCTCGTAGGCCACGTACATGAAGCGGGCTAGGTAGAAACACACGTGAACCGTACTTGCGGGGTTCGCATCTTGTTCGCTGACTGAAGCTACCAAGGTCATTGTCTGTTTAGGGGAATGTGTGGCCAGTGTTTTCGGTGAATTAATACAAATTCAGGTTTGCCGCTTATAACACTCGATAGTTTCAACTCACGTGTTGACTAATGCCATATTGATAATGCACAAGCTGGCTACCTATGACGCTGATCGATAATGAAAAATCAATAAATTGTTACCATTATGGCTATTATTATTTCTTTTTATTGCTGTTTCATAAAAATTTGCGTGCAATAAATTTGAATGATTTGTTCATAGCCGAGTAAAAATATTGCTGGCAAATGTTTCTGAACTTATTAAATAAAATTTTCAAGCAGATAAAACAAAAATTGTTTGTTGAACTAAGAACTTTCTATCTGCTTTCTGTACAAATATTCTTTTTTTTATTTCGCTAATTTGGTTTGTAATTCGTATTTTCTTTTTTCGCTCTTTTCGTTTTTTAACGATATCTCTCTCTCTCTCTCTCTTTTCTATTTTCCTTTATTCAGATTAATTAATCAGTAAACAAAATTGTTTAGTTATCATGAAAATAGTAGATAAAACAACTAAAAATCATAAAGAAAATAATCTAGAAAAAATTGTTGGCATTTGTTAAACATTTGAACATTATTTTTTTTAGTTAAGTACCTTACCTGATCAATCTAACTTTTTAAACACAAAAAAGATAAAAATTATTAGAAACTTTAACAAATTTTGACTAATAACTAGACACTCATAGATTGCAATGAGTTGACACGTAAAATAAATAAATTATCATCCCACATAAAATTTGAGTTTGAACTTTTCAACATTCAAAATTTATAAAATTAATTTTGCAAATCTCAAAAAAGTATAATTTCGTTTAATGGTAAGATGAACAACCAACAAACCGACCGACAGCAGAATGAAGGTGACCAGCATCTCACAGGCACATTCCGTCCAGAATGAAGGCCTGGCCAGATCGTCCAACGACCATTCGAAATAATTTTTTATTTCCATCTAATCGTAGTATCGTCGCTCTTGTTGTTTATATCAATGTTTATTGGTGCAAAGAAACAAGTTTAACCGTGCTGGTTTCATTTTTTTTAAATTAAAGCAGTAAAAAGTTTAACCATCTTGTATCATTTCTTTTCCAATAAATTAAAATGGGAAAAAAGTTTCTCTAATTTTTCTCATCAGGAAATTTAACATTTATTTATTTATTCATTTACTTGCTATTATTTACTGAAACCATAAAAACTAATTTAAAGATTTAATTGCATTCGGGCCAGCGATTATTTATTTGTTTGTTTATTAATTTGTTTATTTGATTAATCGTTTGTTTATTGTTTGTTCTTTTTAACCGCACGCCATGATTTCTGATGGAAAAATCGATTAATAAAATTGTTGATAAACAGACGAATAACTTTTTTTATTTGAGAAAACGCATTTTTATTTTCAACCCAATTATGAGAGAAAAAAATAATAAATTGAAAAAAATTATATTAATTATTATGTTATTTGTTAGTAGAAACCAAATTGAAGATAAACAGAATATACACATTAGATTGAAATAACAGACTTCAAAAATTGAAGTTCAGCGAAGTACAAAGATTTGTTCTTTAAGTCAATTATCTTCAAAATTAAGATCAATATGTCATTTATTGATATTAAACTTATTTGTTAATAAATCCCTCTTATGCAGTTCTCGATAGTAAGAGATTATAACAACGAAAATCTTCGGAAGCCACAAAATAAATAATAATAATAATTTCCTATCTAGTTTTCTTTCTTACTCGTGGTTAATTAAATTTAATTAATTGCTAGGGAAGGGATTGAGCAAATGATTTCATCTACTGATAGATTTCTGTTACCAATCATAAAACAATTATCTGTAAAATTTTACATTTTAATAAACTGCTCAATGAAAACTAACCATTAGAGTACCACTCATAAAAATATAAATGATAAAATAAAGGAATAACGAAATATTAATAAATGTTGTGAAACATTCTGTAAACAATCCAGTTATCAAGGTTAACTCTCTCGCACAAGTTTCTAACAAAGCGACAAATAAAAGTGACAGGAGTTAACTTGTTGAAACCGCCTTCAGAGATTTTTTTCGATGTTTTACATTGAAGGCAAAAAATGCAGATGAAATATTCATATTCTTAACAAAGGCACGAAATGCAGATTAAATAATTCATATTTTTGTTATTCTTATCAATTCGTTAACAGATCGAAATGGAAAAATATTTGTATTATTTAAAAACGTTAGATCTACTAATTCTAATTTCACGCACGGACACACACACATATTAAAACATACACATACACACCACACACACACACACACACACACACACACACACTCTTAAGCAAATTTATTAACACACACGCACCTATATATGAAAATATATTAAACCAAACACGACAAAACGATTTCAAATCTGTGACTGCAGGGCGACTGATTCACGTTCGACAGCCTCTCGTGGTTTGTAAAACTTCCCCATAGCGAACAACTTGTAAGCGAGTACAGCCAGTGGACCGCCAATGTAAGGCCCTAGCCAATACACCTGGAGGTTTCAAGGTTGTAATTACTTTTTATGATCATCCATAAAAAGAATCATAATCGTATTCATAATTTTATGTAAATCCAAATACTTCTTTCGTAATTTAAATTCAAAACTGGTGAAGTTTTCTTTTATTTTGCGCGTCTATGTAATGAAACCTTAAAACCATCCAACCACCCACATCACTGTAACTCAATCTAGCAAGTTCGAACTAGGCAGTTTACTAACATTTGCAAACATAACAAACAGTACAGTATGCAGTAGGTAGGTTCGGTGAAACGAAGCAACAACTTAACTTACTACATAACATACTCTGCAATACATTTATTTATGCATGTTAAATGCATTGCAAACAATATTTCAGGCTTCAAATTTGCTTGCACTTGTTCACATGCAAGCATATGGGATGAGAGAACACGTGTGCTTGTGTGCGCGCGTGTGTATTGTGTGTGTGTTCACTTAGTTTAGATGCTTGATAATATTTACATAGAAATTTCGTTTTTTAAAACGATAAGTAATCGGATGAATGCATTCTCATGAAATGTAAATATAAATGATTTTTTTTTCATCATAGCACACACACACACCACACACACCCATATACATACACACACACACACGTGTGTGTGTACATACGTATACAGTGCGTAACAGCGGAATATAAAAAAATTTAGTATATTTAGTTAATGTACGAATATAAATGAACAGATCTAAGCACAGACATATAAAGAAACAAACAAACAAACAAATAAACGGTAAAACGAAAACCGTAAGGAAACGTAAGAAAACATTTCCATAGCAGATGCGCGTTGAACTTTGTAAGTGCAAAGGTACAAGTTTACGAAATGGATGGTGAAGCAAGACAAACAAACAGACAAATAGACAGACACAGACACACACAGACAAATAAAGTGACAGAGAGATAGACGAACAAACAGACACACCCAGACAGATAAACAGACAGTCACGAAACAGATAGACAGACACAAACATACAAACAAACAGACAGAGAGGTAGACAAACAAACAGATACACACAGACAGAGATACACAGACAGACACACACAGACAGATAAGCAGACAGACACGAAACAGATAGACAGACACAAACATCATACAAACAGAAAAACAGAGAGAGAGAGAGAGAGAGAGAGAGAGAGAGAGAGAGAGAGAGAGAGAGACAAACAAACGAACAAACAAACATGACAAGACACCTACCCAATGGTTTGCAAACTTGCGGTTAAAGACGGCTGGCCCAAACGGGATGAGTGGGTTCATGAAACCCCCCGTGTGTGTGCCCTTAATATCGAATCAACATTTCTCACAATTACATTATTACAATGATACAATTATATTAATTTATTAATTAGTGATTATTATATTTATTAATTAATAATAATTGTAACAAAAAGAAAGAAGAATAATTTTGCAAATTGAAATTATGGAAGGTTAAGGTACTTCTGGAATTTGTAACGTCTTTTTATGATTTTCATTTGCACAAAACTAGCGTACACACACATGTGTTACACAGATCCACACATGCATACTTATATATATTACGTCGGTTGGTCAGTTTTTTTATGAAGTTTTAGTTTTGATGATTGCATCATTTGATGATGATGATTAGCCAAGACATTTAGTCGAAGTCGACTTTCGGCCACTTTATGGATCTGTCTTCTCCATGCGTTCCTGTCCTCGACGATTATTTTAAGTTCTGAGATCGTCATTTTGGTAGCCGATGTGATTGTATCAAACCAACGTATTTTTTGTCGTCCTTTTCTTCTTGTCCCACTCACTTTACCTAGCATCATTGAAGTTTCCAGCGAATTTGCGCGTATAACATGGCCGAAAAAGGAGAGTTGTTGTTTGACGATTTTGCCCTCAAGCGACATTTTTGGCTTGATACGGTCCAAGACCGTCTTATTTGTTGTCCGCGATGTCCAGGGGCTACGCAGTAGTCTTCTCCAACACCAAAGTTCAAAAGCGTCGATCTTTCTTCTTTCCGCTTTCTTGATTGTTCAACTTTCACATCCATAAGTTGCTATGGGAAAGACAATGGCGTTGACGAGTCTCGTTTTCGTTGCAATGCTCACATCCTTGCTCCTCCAGACTTAATCTTTTCCTTGCATTGCAGCCCGGCCGAGTGCAATCCGTCTTTTGATCTCTGGTCCAGATTCGCCGTTTCGGTCAATTTTGGCTCTCAGGAAAATGAAATCTTGTACTGTCTCGATCTGTTCATTGTTGATGTTTACTGCATCACTGCATGCCGTTGCCATTACTTTCGTTTTCATTGCATATATGCATTTATAAATTTTTTCCGGCATAAGTTTAGTTCATTCTTGACACTGTGATCCCATTGATACAACAATTCAATTAGTTGATTCGACAAGTCTTGAACTACCTTCCTTTTAACTTTTAATTCTCGAGAGAGATGGAGCAGTCGCTGCTCGCGATCTTGTTCGATTGTTAGATCTAGATAAGTAACAATCGAACTTATATATATTATATACATACATACAAACATATATATAATCATTAACTAACTAATTAATTGAAGTATAGTTAATAGCAAATAATGAATAGCTAATAAAAAAATTTAGTTAATTAACTGAAACATACAGCGGCAAATAATCCGACTGCCAGTGCCAGGGCTATGGACAGATTCGGTAGAAATGGGAGTGGTCTGAATGTGGGCGTGATCAAGAAACGTCAATCAAAATTGCATAGAATAACAACGATAATAATAATAACAATGGAAACACTTTTTATTATTGAACCTCAAAAATCTAAAATCAAATTTCATAAATATATAAATGATTAGTCATCAATGCTCATCATTCACATCAGAGTACAAGGATGATAAAAAATGATACAAAAAATTGTTCATGTTTTGTTCCTTTCACAGTATATTGCATACGATAAACTAATTGCACGATTTGTTAGGTTATCTTTAAAAATGTCTGGCCAAGTTAAATCGATTAATGACAGTTTAAAAGGATTGTAGAAACCTATAGGACTAATCTCAAAAGTTTTAATTAAAACATTAAAATTTAAATAATCATTTGACAAATCATTTTTGAGATTCATATTGCATTTTTCTTGTTTGTAGAATTTGGATGAGGTGAAGTTTGTCTCGTGACAAACCGTCAGCTCCAGAATCTCGATGGTATTGTTCTTGACTATTGCGATATCAGGACGGAGCGATTTGAATACATAATATAATATAATATATAATATATAATAATAACAACAATAACAATCATAATAATGATACTACAACTACTACTTAGTAGTAGTAGTGCTACTACTAGTAGTACTACTTAATAATATTACTACTACTACTACTACTACTACTATTACTACTACTACTATTACTACTACTACTACTACTACTACTACTATTATTACTACTACTACTACTACTATTATTACTACTACTACTACAACTACTACAACTATTACTACTACTACGAATAATAATAACAATAATAATAATAATAATAATAATAATAATAATAATGATGATGATGATGATGATGACGATGATAGTTGCAGTTGATAAAATTATTTCTCGTAATTGTGCTGATAGGAGCAGTTTTTTATTATAAATGGCTGATCGTTTTAACGATTAACAGCGGTGGTAATCAAACTAATACTAATGATGATCGTGAGCTTTATTCCCATCATCATCATCATCCTCGTCGTCGTCATCCTCGTCGTCATCATCATCATCATCATCATCATCATCATCATCATCATCATCATCATCATCATCATAGTCGTCGTCGTCATCATCGTCGTCGTCATCAGCATCGTCATCATCATCATCACCTGGGATATTCAGTTCCATGTACACTGAGTACCACGAAGATGAGATTGAAGGAGAAGAAGCCCTCTATGGTAACGGACTGCCAGTTGTTCATGCCGTGGTGGCTCGGGTCGAAGTAGGGTATCACACGGTTGTCCGGAGTCAGTCTGAGTTTTTTTGGGTCAAGATGAATGAATTGAGTGAATTGAAGGAAGATGTTGCCTGCAAGCAGAGTAGCATATGCCTCACACGCAGTTGAAAATTTATTTTTTTTATTTATGTAATATGCGAGTAACAAACTTGTAGCAACGACAACACGAAAACATCATCAAAAAAACAACAACATCATCATTAACAACAACAAACAACAACAACACAAATTATCATTAACAAGAACATCATCGTCATTAACAACAGCAACAACAGCAGCAGCAACATCAACTACTACAATACGAATGCACTAACAAGTATCCAAAGAACGTTCCAGCCAACCCACCGCATAGCTCCAATATTGTGAATATCACGCCTTGGGGGATAAAAAATCATTTTGTTATTTTTCTAGTTATTCGTAGTAATTGAAGTTTTTAAAGATATTTGTGATACTTGATAGATTGATCAGTATTATCTAGATACTTATTCAAAATCTAAAACAATGAGATAAACAAAAACAACAATAAAAACACTGTATATCAATAAAAATGGCAATGAAATGAACAATAAAAATACAGAAAATACGAAAAAAAATACACAAACCAAAAAAAAAACTAAAAGCAACTGCAGTGAATGAAGAATTACATGGAAATCAACATTCCAACTGACATCTTGCGAGGGAGATCTTCCCGGCCAGGAAAAGTGAAAAGGCAGCCATAGGATTGAGCAGGCAGGCGATTGGTCCGTAAGTTTCGATGGCCATAAATACAAAAGCCAAGACGAACAGTCCTAGGTGGGTGGTGTTCGGCTCGTATAACTCTTTTTTGTTAGTCACCAACACAAACATCACTACCTTGCATGTGTAGATGATGGGTGGGTGAGTGAATGAGTGAGATAATGATTGATTGAGTGATTGTGTGAGTGGGTGAGTGGGTGAGTGAGTGAGTGAGTGAGCGAGTGAGTGAGTGAGTGAGTGAGCGAGTGAGATAACGATTGAGTGAGTGACGAGTAAGACAATGAATGGTGGAACGAAACAGTGAGCGAGTGAATGAATAAATGATTTAGCGAGTGAGTACTTTGTTTAGTGTTTTAATGTTCAATGCTATTTGTTCGGTTTTAGTTTCGTTTTACCTATATAAATTTTATTATTTCTTGTTTGTTGTTTAGTTTATAAACTAAAACCTATGCCAGCTGTTTGATTATGCTGTTTAATTTTTTTATTTCACTCTTTCTGTTTGAATTTGTTTATAAATTTATCTATTAATTTTCGTTGCTTTTTCATCGTTAGGACTGCTAACGTTTTATTGATTGCCCCTTCCATGTTAATAATAAACATTTTTTTAAATATTTTTATCACCATGTTCATGTTCACAATACGTTTTTAAAAAACTTGTCAGCTGTATTTAAATAAATTTTCATTATTTACGATCATGCTTCGACGAAGTCTGTGACATCTCACAGACGACAAAATGTCGTGTCTGTGGCGGAAAAGATCATAAATCATTTTTATGAATTATTATTTGAACCATTTATTATTTACCTTTTTTTGGTTGTATTGTAATTATGTTGATATTTGTGTCTTTTTAAATACAACAGTTGATGTTAAACACGTCAGACATACACTCTGCTATAAAGAATAAGGATTAATTAATTGCTATATAAAACATACTTTAAACTTACACATTGACAGCTGGCCTGTCTTTCTTATATCATAATTAAATTACTTTATTTTGCGAGTATTTAAAGTAAATGAATGAATGAATAAATTAATTAATTAATGAATTAATGAGTGAATAAACGAACGAACGAATGAATGAACGAACGAACGAACGAACGAATGAATGAATGAACGAATGAATGAACGAATGAATGAACGAATGAATGAACGAATGAATGATTGATTGATTGAACGAATAAACGAACGGATGGATGAAAAAAATAATTGTGATTATCGTTAAATATTTTATATATTTTGTAACGTTTGTCTTTACAAGTAAAAGAATGATTAATCAATTAACAATTTAATTATGGGCGTTGTAAAACCAGACAATTAAAAATTTAACTGTTACTATTTATAGTAATTGCGATGTGAATGATGATAATTATAATAGTAATAATAATAATAATAAATGATAATAATATAATATATTTATCATCACCGTCGTGAGCATAAAAGAAACCATGAGCTCGCAAGCACATTCAGTCCAGAATGAAACCTTCTTTAGATCGTTCAGTGACATTTTTATTATACTAGACATGATGATGTTGTTGTTGATGTGACGATATGGTCAGGATGTTGTTGTTGTTGTTGACGATGATGTTGTCAGGATGTTGTTATTGATGTGATGATGTTCTTTGGTTTTGTCAAAGTAGTTGTTTTTGATGATGATTATGAGAATGATTGTGGTTATGTTGTTGTTTTTGTTGTTGATGATTTTGAAGACGTTGTTGATGTTGTTTTATGCTGACGACGAGCCACGAATTCAACTTATTGTAAACACGTTTCTAATTATCATATAATATTCTCGATCAGTTCTTCATTCCGTATTTTAATAATAATTTCCTAACTTTTTAGTTTTCTCTTGGTAATGAAAAAATATTATTTAACTCAAAGTTTATAACTTAGAAAAAAAGGATATTATTCAAATAAAAAAAATTAACACACACAAAAGCAAATTATGAGATAACGTGTCTCTGTCCAAATTTTAAAACCGACTATTTTCTTCTTATATCCCTGCGGTATATATATAGGTATGTATATAGTTTTCAAGAAAATCAACCGCGTTTATACAATTATTATGTTTATACATTAATTTTTCAAGTTTTCTAATTAAAATTTTATTATAATTATTTAATTTATTAAGTAAAAAACTAAAATTATTGTTCATGTTTATTATTATAAATAATTGCCAAAAGCTTTTTCGATATACAATATATCATCGTCAGTGCAAAATATTTTTAAATAATCAATCAATCAATCAATCAATCAATCAATCAATCAATCAATCAATCAATCAATCAATCAATCAATCAATCAATCAATCAATCAATCAATCAATCAATCAATCAATCAATCAATCAATCAATCAATCAATCAATCAATCAATCAATCAATCAATCAATCAATCAATCAATCAATCAATCAATCAATCAATCAATCAATCAATCAATCAATCAATCAATCAATCAATCAATCAATCAATCAATCAATCAATCAATCAATCAATCAATCAATCAATCAATCAATCAATCAATCAATCAATCAATCAATCAATTAGCATATAAAGCGCTATTTCCGCGATGTTCAACAGCACTCCTCAATGAATTTTGAAAACAGATGGGTCTTGAGATCCGCTCTGAACTTCGCAAGTGATGAAGAAGTAGTCAAAGAAGTAGGTAGAGAGTTCCAGAGAAAAGGACAAGAAAAAGCAAAAGCAAATTTGGCAAAAGAGTGTTTAACATTAGTTAAGAAAAAGCGAGAAGAAGAAGACGATCGTAAATCGGGGCGTTTAGGTTGTTGCGATTGCGTTTGATGATGAGAACATCGAACCAGAAGAGCAGTGAGCGGGAGAAGAAAAGAATAGTATTTGTTTGGATAGGCTGGACACGTGTTTCGTCCCTACTGGGGACTCATCAGCAGCCCGAATACCTATCAGATTAGTGTTACCAGAAGTATGGGTAGGAAAAGAACAATATTGTGTTAAGTTAAAAAGAGACAAAATATCATTAAATCTACGAGTGTAAGAACATGATAAATTATTGAAGTGCAAGTTGAAATCACCAGAGATGTAGAAAGGAATAGAAAAAGAGTAGAGAGATTCAGCGAGTGAGTAGAATTCATCTAAAAACAAAGTGAGAGAAGAAGAAGGAGGGTGATAGATTACAGCAATATAAAAAGATAGAGAAGAAGACTTAAGAGATACAGCAAGACATTCAAAAGAAGAAAAATGAAAGGAAATATTAATGGAAGCAGTAAATAGAGATTTATAAAACAGACAGATACCCCCATAAGAAGAATGAGAAGATGATAGAAGATTTTTTGGAGGTCTAGAGAGTTCAAGGAAGCTGTAACCATCAGGAGTAGCAAGAATAGGAGAGGGAGAGTTAGTCCTCGTGCCAAGTTTCAGTAAGAGTAAAAAAATCAGGTAAGGAGGAAGAGATTATTTGATGGATATAGAGCGATTTTTTATTAATTGATCTTATGTTAATATTAAACAGTGAAAATGTAGAGGTAGGTTGGATATTGGTACTTTTAAATCTAGTTTTGTTATATTATTTAAACTAATAGAATTAGAATTATTATTCTTATCATTAGTATTAATTACATTAGAGCGGGATTTAATAAAATTATTCTTATTATACTTGCTATTAGCATTATTATTATTAATATAATTATGGTTACTAACTATATTTATTTTTTTGTTAGAGTTAGATTTATTGTTTTTATTGTTATTTTAATAATGAAAATAAACAAATGACGTTATAAAGTATAACTTAATTTTAAGCGCGAAACATTTTTGAAAATATTATTATTAATTATTATATACTATGTATTTAACATATTGATAAAATTTACTTTAAATTATTTACATAGATATATATTAGAATTAAACAGAATAAATTGAAATTTTAAAAATTGCTGAAAAAACGACAAATTCCTTTGTTGGTTTCTTTCACATAAACTGAGATGTTGAAATCACGTTCATCAGTTTATGTGAAAGAAACGAACAAAGGAATTTTTTTTAATGGACAAAGTGAATGTACGAAAGAATATAAACTGAATACTATCAAAGCCTTCGACAACCGAGCATTAACACACTCAACTACTCAAAATGACATCAATACAGAATTGAATCGCATTAAAAAAATACTTGTTAATAATGGTTATCAAATATCAGATATTAACAATGAAATTAAATTTGAATTAAGAAATATCAGTAACAACAATAATAATAACTACAACAGAGTGACCAGCAGCAATATTATCATCAACAACAATAATCTTTCTATTGATAATGATAACTCCATTGCCAACTATAACATCATTAATAACAACAATATGGTCTAAATCCTAATTTCACAATATGTATATATATATATATATATATGTATATACATACATATACATATGTATATGTGTGTGTTTTGTGTGTTTGGTGTGTGTATATATATATATATATATATATATATATATATATATATATATATATATATATATATATATATATATATATATATATATATATATATATATATATATATATATATATATATATATATATATATATATATATATATATATATACATATATATATATATATATATATATATATATATATATATATATATA